AAGAAAGTAGTTTGTCTCTCCTTCTTCCTAATCTGTCTTTGTCTGGAAGCTCATCTGAAACCTGTCCACCATGGGTGACCCTGCTGGTATTTAAAATACCCGTGGCATAGCTTTCAGAATCACAGCAACTCACAAGTCACCACAGTATTATAAACTGACAGATGAGTGGTGTGGTATTAAACAGTACTGGGGTATTTTCATCTCATTGTTCTCAATATTGCTATTATTGATGTCTTCACAAGAACAGCATTGTTTTATTTCATTTAATAAAAAAATTATTTTTTGAATGTTTTCATCATGATCTTTTAAATTGGCTTAATAGCTTTTTATATGAGTTTTATAATTAAATATTATTTGAATAGTAGTACATAGTTATAATTCATAAATATGTTATGAATACTATAGCTGTATGTTCAAAATATGAAAAGTGTGGAGACTGTGCTTATAAAACACAGATCGCATGTTGGTAATAACAGAAGACTAGCAGCAACCTACATAGCCAGTGGTGACCAATCCAAACTCACTACCATTGGCTAGATCCTGACTCATACAGGGTTTGGATATAGGGCTTCCAAAACTATAAATCTTTGCAGGAGCAGAAATCTTGCCTCCTTGGAGCAGCTGATGGGTTTGAATTGTGTACCTTGGGTTAGTAGTTCAGTGCTTATCTTGTAGCACCACCAGAGCTTCTTAATGAACAGTAACCTAAATTCACTGCCATCAAGCTGATTCTGACTCTTAACAATCCAGAATAGGGTTTCTGAGGGCTGTAAATCTTTACAGAAGCAGAAAGTCTTATCTTTCTCCTGCTAGCAGCTGGGGAGTTAGAACCGCTTGTCCTACAGAGCCACCCAGGCTCCTTAACCAACAGGAAGGGATGGTTTAATAAGCTGTACCACACTATTCGGTGGCTTAGCATGCAGCCAGTGAGGAGAATATGAATCTGCATGGGCTGATACACAGTTGTTTCTAAGCCGGTGCTCCCATTAATATAAAAAAGGAAGGAAAATATCACTGCATAGTGTTGTAAGCTTGACTAATTATATTTCTAGAAGTAACACACAGTCCAATTTATTACTGCCTCTGAGCAAGTGCACCGGGAACCAGACTAAGAGAGACTTAATTATAGTTACCTTTTCTTTTTCCAGTTATTTACTCTTTTTTTTTTTTTTAATAGTTACCTTTTATACTCTGAATTTTTTCTTGTGTTCAGGATTTCCTTAAGTTTTCAAAGCTAGTAAAAAAGGAGGAAACAATTTCGAAACCGGAATTAAAATACTGCATCATAATACTGAATCTGAACATCTGTCTGTATGACTTTATGGTTACTTCTGTCTCAGTCACCTGCTGTAACATACATACCACAACTGCAGAGCTTTAAATAACAGAAATTCATTTTCTCAATTCTGGAGGCTAAAGGTCCAAATTAGGCTCTTGGTTCTGTCAGCATACTGAACATTCCCCATTAGTCCCCCATTTTAGATGCTGTGTCTAATATGCTCATGTTATAGCTAAGATTAGGTTAGGACACACCCTACGTTGGTATGGCTTCATTAACATAGCAAAAAAAAAAAAAGCTCTATTTCCAAAAAGGATTATATCCTCGGTATGTTGTTGTTATGTGCCGTCGAGTCGGTTCCGACCCATAGCGACCCTGTACAGGGTTTCCGAGGGTGTAAATCCTTACAGGAGTAGAAAGCCTCATCTTTCTCCCGC